GATATGAGGTCGGTGACACATCAGTAGCTTCGTTTTAGCTCTGGTTTTAGTTACAGTTTTACGGCACTTGCAATACAAATAGGTCAAAATAAGTACCGAAGATTCGAGGAGTTACAGGAGAGTAACATGCAAACAAAAAGATGAGAAGTTTTGACGATAGTTTTGGGGAAAGAAGGAGCGAGCCACACCAGAGCACCCGCCAACGACCCACACAAACGCTTCAAAATCTGATCTCTCTATGTGAGGAGAGTGGGACAAGGGTATGTCTACCCCCCCCCCTTTCTCGGGACAGCCTTGGACAAAAAAAAAAGGGGGGGGGGTGCTAAAATAGACGGAGAAAGCTGGAAAAATCTGTTAATTAAATTACCAACTACAAACAGATCGAATCAGTGGTATTCATATTTCGCTGTCGTTTCCTCTTCGTGCTGAAATATTATTTTAATTACTCGCATTTAAAAAAGTCAATGATCGTCTGATACAAATAAGATCACTAACATGGCACACGATAAAGAGACACAGGACACAAAAACAAAACAAAAAAGGGTAGAATGAGAGAAAAGTTTCAAGGAATGTGTGTCTGTCTGTCTGTCTGTCTGTCTGTCTGTCTGTCTTTTTGTCTGTCTGTCTGTCTGTGTGTCTCTTTCTCACACTCTATGCATCATTCTCGTGTTCTGTTAAAACGGGTATACTCCTGCCCCCTCCTCCTCCTCCTCCTCTTCCTCTCTCTCTCTCTCTCATCCCTCTCTCTTTCTCTCTCTCTCATCTCTCTCTCTCTCCCTCTCTCCCTCTCTCTCCCTCTCTTTCTCTCCCTCCCCACTCTCTCTTCTCTCTCTAGCTCTCTTTCTCCTCTTCTCCTCTTCTCCTCTCTCTCTCTCTCCATCCCTCTCTCCTCTCTCTCCCTCCTCTCTCTCCCTCCTCTCTTTCTCTCTCTCACACACACAGATACACACACACACACGCACGAACACACTCACACACACAAACACACACACACACTCTCTCTCTCTAGACACTCTCTCTCTCTCTCTCTCTCTCTCTCTCTCTCTCTCTCTCACACACACACACACACACACACACACACACACACACACACACAGCCAGGTCTCACCAGCTCAGTCATTGTCCCAGTCTAACGTCCCGTGGCAAATCCTGAGTCAAAAGCAGGATTATCTGTCACCTCTGGGCGCCTCGTCTCTTCCACATCCACACATCCACACCACACGTAGATCCACATTACGTACATGTATTTGAGTCACGACGCGATGGAATCAGGCACTCGTCAACCTTTGGGCATGTGGAGTTATTGGTATCATCTTAAAGCTTGTCCAATTGTCTTGCCTTCGAGGAAAAATGTACCAATTTATTTTGGATAATTACGGAGAAAATGGCCGTCAAAGTTAGGTTAGTTCCATAGTTTGAGAGCCCATGGTAACCGAAAACTTACATTTTTGTGCCTTTAATCAACGTTTCTCAGTAAAATCCACACAGAAATATGTTTTTGAATTGACATAAAAGGTGCTGAGCCCCCATCCCCT